AATAAAATATGTTGTGAAGCATTAAAATATAGAAAAAAAACAGAGAGTATTGAAGCTCGAAGACTAAACAACAAAATTTATGTCAGAGAGAGAGAGAGAGAGAGAGAGAGAGAGAGAGAGAGAGAACAAGCCCGGACCCCCCGAAACGTTCAGGTGCCATGGAGGAACGAGCATCCCCACGTTTGACTAATCGATAATATGATAAAATATCACAATCCGTTAAAAAAGTTATACAGCAAAACGGCAATGTATATTGTTTTCTGAAATATGCGTAGATGTATACAACGAAAACAATCTTAAAGGTACTTGGACACCATACCATACAAGGCCTATAACATAATATTACTAAACTGACATGAAATTATTTAACTGAAATAGTTATTGGTTAATGCAAATTTTCTCTACTTTTCTAAATCTTTAGGATGTATAAGTTATATTCATATGCTTCCTTTATTTAGTTTTTTCTCATTTAATCATAATTTATGGTAAAGTTGTAAGATGAGGATAAAAATGAATCAAAAACAAAAACCTTTGATCGTTTACTAAGAGAGAAAAAAAAACTTTTTACGGATTTTTGGCTCAAATCTCTACTCAGATTGGAATCTTATAATAGCATACATAGTTCTAGTTTGTTTTTTTTTAAATCATATTTATTTGATATACTAGTATTCAGGGACTGAAGTCCCTTATTATTATTTAAACTTACATCTGAAAATGTCTTCAAGTCTTTGATTGTGTAAAAGTTATAACTAAAATCATTGTTCTATAATAATTTTGAGAGGCAGAAAAGATCTTTTCATACTCCACCATTCTGCCAAAAATAAAGTCCCTGTAAGTTTTCAAACACGATTTACCATTTCTATTTAGAGCTGTACAATTGCAATGAGAAGAAAAAAAATATATATAATCTTTTAAATCTTTTACACCTAAATATATAAGACATATAAGCAAATGTGCGTTGAACTATTCATCTAGTCAGAAACCAGAGAAGAATCCTACTTTAGATTATTTTTTTTCATTTTTTATCATGAGATTGTCTTTTAACTTAAATGAGATAGACACCGCGACCCATATCAAAGATAACGACACGAATTTCAATGTGAACAAATCACATAATGAAACTTCAGCATCCGGTAATCTAATACGACAACAGGAATTTAAAAGAAAAGTGACTGATTAAACTCATTAATCAGTAACTCGAAAATCAAATGATATGTTGCTTATGTTTATATTTTCTGATATAAATCATTTAATATGTATGATTGATTGATTGTATACTGTTTAACGTCCCTCTCCAGAATATTTCACTGATATGGGGACGTCACCATTGCCGGTGAAGGGCTGCAAATTTAGGCCTATGCTCGGCACTCAGGGCCTTTGAGCAGGGAGGGATCTTTATCGTGCCACACCTGCTGTGACACGGGGCCTCGGTTTATACGGTCTCATCCGAAGAACCGCCCCATTTAGTCGCCTTTTACGACAAGCAAGGGGTACTGAGGACCTATTCTAACCTGGATCCCCACGGGGCTTTAATATGTATGAGTAAACATCATAATTTTATCTCGGAAGCTCATCTGTTATAGTTATTTTAAACGAATGGAAATCCCTTGGATTAGATGTTTATATATGTATTACATATATGATTTCCACATCGACAAAAAGTTGACATTTTATATTCTTTCCTAATTGTACGTATCAAAATTACATGTAATATACACAAATCGATTTAAAAAGAAAAAAAGTGGAATAATGCTAAAATGGCACAGACGTTTTCTCCCTTGTCATTAGGAAAGTTGAAACATACATGTATGACATGTTAGAGATGCATATTATTGTCTGTGTCTTTAATTAATATTGTGCTGTAGTTTTGCATTTATTTACAAAATAGTTTAAAGGAAAAGACTTAATAACTAAAACTTAAGTATTGAAACTTAAGAAATATAGGTTCCCAACATTGTTTTGTTTGTTAGTAAATACACTACTGAAAAATCTCAAATTAATCAATATGCTTTAGAATTAACATTGTGTTTTTATTTACTAACAGTATAACAGTTTTAATAACAATTAATTCACTAAATTAAACCCGTCATTAAGTATATTCATATGTTGTCTCCTTTTGAGAAGAAACGCGCAGCACAGTTAAGGTTACAAAAAGGAGGCGGGGCCTAATTTGTACGGGAAAACTTGACTATGACATCATACACAATATACGTCATACAACATTTTTTTAAAAATACCACAAAATGAGTTTATCTGCTAATTTAACCAGTAAGAAATCATCAAAGTACATAAAAACTTACTACAGCGTGTTGTTTTGTCGTTAGTTAAATCCCACATAACAAGTTGTAAACAAGTCACTGATCGCAATACACTTGTCAATATGACGTCATTTCTTACAACGTGACGTATTTGTATGCAGTGAGAGACAGATCAAATAATATTTTCTTAACAAAATATGTATTCTCTAATTAAATAAAATATTATTTACAGATATTCTATGGGGCAATAACTTGATATTAATGTCTTCTTCGCTATTTTATTAATATATTTTCTGTACATTACGTATTTAATTGACATTGCCGTATATTTGTATGCAAGTACATCGGAGGGTAATGTGGGGGGTTTTTAATAAATCGATCTAGTGCAAGGGCATACACTCTATGGATCAAAGTAAGCTTTTACATTTCAACGATAGAACTAATAAGGTATCTGAAAAGTGCTGCGATCCTGATGAAATCTTAAAAACAATTTAATTATATCAATATTTTATGCCGCTGACCAGCAAAAAATATAGCATTCGGTCATACAAGTATAATTTTAACAATGAAATTGCAGAATTTAAACAGGATCGCAGCACTTTTTAGAAACTACAATGCTTTTTGAAAATATTTATATACTAAACTTGGAAATTTAACTTGGTTATGCCCTTGCACTAATGATATTTATATGTAACATCAATACTTCAATTCAATGTGCGAAAATCGCGTAACTGCCGCATCACGTGACTAGTCTAAATATAAAATATAATCGTCCTCGATATGTAGTTATTAATCATAATTACAATTATCCGATATAAATAATGTACTTAAAATAATCGCCATCTCGATTACGAATACATTTTTAAATACAAAATTTAGCCGATATTTCCATTGCGCACCTTAACTGTACTGCGCGTTCGTCCAACTCCGGAATTCCGGAAAGCATACAGACTCTTTTATATAAAATACCTCATGCAAAGTGAGCAGTTTTAAATGCGCCCAAAAAAGAGTTAGATTATGACATACTGGTGTTCCTCGTTATTCATTTTATGGATGAAATTGAATTTTTGGATGCAAATCAAGCCTTGAAATCAAAAGATTAAACAGTAATACTTCATACTGAAGGTCTAGACTTGTAAAAGAAAAATAAAAACACTTATGAAATAGGAAAACTATAGCACCAATTGCCAAGCAAATCGTTGAACAAAAATGTCCCAAATCATGTTTTTTGTTCGTTTTTCACCGATTTCTTGTGTGTAAAATTAATGTATCTTGGTTTTGTGCATGTAAAGTGTGCATTTGTTTCAATTTTATTCATTTTTTTCACAGAATTTTAGCAGTTTCATTTTTTAATTGGAATTACAATGTATCTTGCTAAAAATATCCCCACTAATCATATTATTCAAACAAAGTACAAATTCAAAGTTTAAGGTTGTTTACTTTTAATTCAATAATACATGAAGTTATCTTAAAACTTTTTTTTTAGAACTGATATAGGAAAATTTCCCGGAAACTCGTCCTCATGTCATTTGTATACATGAAATATCTTTTAAGTAGGTCAATAACTTAATGTTTTGATTGATCATCCTCAGCGATGAAATAAAAGTTCATAAAATGTGTTATTTTCGGATAATACAACATTGAAAAATACAGGAATCGAATATATTAAAAACGTGAAAAATGCCACGGAAAGGATTTGTCTTGGTTATAGGTAAGTTGAAAAATATTTTGACACATAAATTGCTTAAATACACACTCATGAATGTCCAAAAGTATACAATATGTTTTTTTTTATTTTATGAATGCAATCACAAAGCATGAAAGTAATGTATGGCAAACATTTCTTTATAAATTATTTCTTGCGTTCGATGACTTGACATTTTGTTATTTAAAAAAAAATACGAGAGTCGTTCAATAAGTAATGCAACATGCCTAAAATATGAAAAAGTACATAATAATATTCTTAATAGTTTCAATCCTTCAAGGCATTCCCTTTTACCCTTTACACATGTATTTTGTCTTTATATCCATGCACAGAAAACCTCAGCATACTCAGCTTTAGAGATGCACCAAAGTCACTGACGAATATCATTTGCCATGAAATGTATGACATTGTTCAATTTTCCTTCCATTGTTTTATGTGTTTTGGGAACAAAAAGATCTCAAAATGTCTTAGATCTATCTGATATGACTAATGGAAAAGTTCTATTCACTTCATTTTCTTCAAAATCTAATTTATTTCCATAAGCTTATGTACAACTGTGTTGTCAGGCACAGGAAAATACCATGGTCACCGAAATTTGGACTGCCCTACCAAGAAATCAGCTTAGCTTTACTTGGGGCAATTTGAACATGAAAGTTACCATTGTTTGGCCTTAATTTGGAGAAATGTGCATGTTCTAATGGATCTCTCTAAAAACGCAAAACTAATAAAACATGTTTGGAACACTTGCTTTTCTTTCACAAAATAAAAGAACACCTTTCCTTTGAATCCACATGTTTTTATTAGTCATCTTATTTTCGGGCATAAAAAAACGTACTTATGTTTTTTTTTTCATTTATCAAGCAAGTTTATCTTATATTTATTTTTTCAAAAAAACTTTTTTTTTAAATAAACCGTTGCCACATTTGCCGCATGGTTTTCACTGAGGCATCTGAAAGACGTAGGGCACCTATCTGATAGAAATTTACTAATTTTTTTTTCTTTGTCAAAATTCAACAAAATGCTGTGACAATTTAACGTTTAGTATCTTAACGATGTCTTTCCACGCAAATTTAACATTTTCAGATATCATAACTTTGATATTTCTTAGTGTCTCCCCAAATTTCAATCGGACAGATTTATTTTAATATTTAGACTCTTTTTATCATTTTGAGTTATAGTATCCATCTAAAAAGTAAACAGCATGAAAGATATTTTTTTTTACAAACAAAATCACATAATAAACATCAGTTCTTCGGCGATTAATGTAAAAAGAACAGTTTTCACATACACTTCTTTTTTTATTTACTTTGCAGAGATAACTTATAAACAGTTTTCAGCTCAGTGTAGTGACCCTGCTTATTTCAAAAGTGAATTTCTTTGCAAAGACAATAGAAAAATTCATGTTTTTTGGTCTTTAAGACCTCTTTAGTAGAACTTTTCAAATGTGAAAAAATAGAATTAAATGCCTCATCATTTATTATGATATACTGTGTGTTGCATTACTTATTGAATGACCCTCGTATTCTGATTTTCTTATCTCATATTTTGATATCAACACTCCAAATGATAAATTAAATTAATTCACTTGTATGTATTTGTAAAAAGGGGAGAGAAACCTAGAATATCACAATTATTTAAATAACAGAAATAAGGAGAGTATGCTAAATCCTTTTTTTTTTTTCAAATTTGGATGTTTTATTAACTAGTCTATGACCAAATACATGTAACAAGTCTGAAAAAAAAGAGATGACTTCAGCCAATAAGCATCTAAGATACTTAAATATAGCCATAAAATGTCAAAAGTGGGTCATGGTGACCTACTTTTTAGTCGACGTTTTCTGTAAACCCAAGATGCATTGACTTAAATTTGATTCTAATATATATTTGATGATAAGTACCTGAGATATGTAAAAGTAGGTAATCGTGACCTATTTTTCAATTGACATTCTCCGAAAACCCAAAATACCTAAACTGACATAGATTAACAATTCTAGGTCAATTTACTAAGATACTTTTAAAAAGCCATAAAATGTCAACAGTAGATCACGGTGACATACATTATAGTCGATGTTTTCCGAAACTAAAGATGCATCAACTGACAAAGTCTGATGTTTCTAACCCAATAAATACCCAAGATACGTAAATATAGCTATAAAATGTCTAAAGTAGCTCACCGTGACCTACTTTTTGGTCAATGTTTATAGAAAACCCAAGATGTATCAACTGACAAAGTTTGATGATCATAGGTCTGAAAGTTTTCAAAATATGCCTTTTAAACAATTGCCTGCAAAATTTAAAAAGTATGTCGTAGTGACCTACTTTTTTATAAATATGTTTTAGGGACCCAAGATGCCTCAACTTACAAGTTTTGATGACTATAAACCTCTCAGTGTCTGAAATAATGAGATTAATGATTTAGAAAGGTTTGGCCATAAAATTCAAAAAGTAGGTCATATTGACCTACTTTTAATTTGACAACTGATAAAGTTTGATGATCACAGGTCTTAAAGTGTCCAAAATATGCGTCTATATCAATTTGAAAACAAATGCCCACAAAATTACCGCGACTTACTTTTGAAATAACATGATGTGAAGTCTTCAGATGCATCATCTTACAAGATTTGATGATCCTAGATTTTATAGTAAACAAAATATAAACGTTTTTATAAAGTGTAAATATTGGTCAATTTGAAGTGATCTTGAGACCACGTTCTTTGCCCCAGGGTGATGTCTTAAACAATTTTAAATCTTCAACATATCTTGATTCTTATAACAAGGTTTGGTGAAAATCTGCTTGGTTGTTCTGGAGAAGATTTTTCAGCAACCAGTATTTTTTGTTTTATTTTCCTGATTATCTCCTCTTTTTTAAGGCTGCAAACCTTGGTAGCTTTTAGTCCAAGGATGTACTGTGACAAATTTGACAATGATTGGCCGAGGGTTTTTGAGCCCATATTTTAAAAAGTTTACGCACACCACTAAAACGCATCTTTAATAATCTTTTACTCCTGGAGTTCAAGAAGTCAAACTGCTGGCATGATTGTAATAAGCATTGAGTTCTCATCCAAAATTGTTAAATTCATGGCTCCAGGGTCATGCATGCAGGGGTTCTAATGCTAGGACTTGGCTATTAAGATTACAAAGAAAAAAATGAACATTTCTTTGAAAATCATCTTCTCTGTTCCTAGGTATTAAACAAAGAAACTTTATGTGTAGTAATGGTGAGCAAGAGTGTCCAAAATTGTGAATATCATGGCTCTAGGGTTGGGGTTCTGGTGTTGGTTTGAAAATATTTTATTGTTAAGTTGTTACAACAAAAGGATTGGACACAAGTACTTAATAATTAGAACGTCCTCTTCCTGGTGTTCTGGTGTTGGAGCAGGGCTAGATTGATATATATTGAAAATGCATTAGTTCTTTGAAAATGTTCTCCTCTGCACCTGGGTATAAAGCTAATGTATTACGTACATAGTGATGATGAGGAAAAGTGCCTCTTCCAAAATTGTAAATTTTCATGGCCTCTGGGTCATCAGTGGTTCTGGAGTTAGTAAGGGAGCTTAATTGATTATGTAGTTAACATTAATTAATTCTATGAAAAATTTCTCCACTGCTATTGGGTATTAAACAAACTAACCATATACATAGTTATTATGAAGAAGGGTGCCTATTTGATAATCGTGAATGTCATGGCGCCTAAGGTGAGGAGTTCTGGTTTTAGGGGACAGGGCTCTATTGATTATATAGTGAAGATACATATTTAATATTGAAAATCTTCCTCACTGTATCTGGGTATTAAACAAACTAACTACATAGTACATAGATATGATGAGGAAGAGTGCCTCTTTGAAAATTGTGAAATTCATGGCCAAAGGATCAGGTTGTGAATTTCAAGGCTCAAGGATCAGGATTTCTGGTGTTACTTAGGATGGCGCTCTAATCATTATATGGTGAAATTGCAAAAATTCTTTGAAAATCTATTTCCGGGTATTAAACAAACTAACTATAGACATAGTTATGATGAGCTAGGATCATTCTTCCAAAATTGTGAAATTTTAGACCCCTGCAACAGGGGTATGATAGATGGCTTGGATTGTGGGGCTCTAACTATATACCGAAAATTTCTTGAAAATACAATGATTTATTTCATTGAAATCCGATTCATTATATAAAACAAACATTTATGATTAACAAGGGTACTTTTTCCAAAATCGTGAAATGTGTAGGCCTAGGGTCTGGGGTTCTTGTGGGGTGGGGGCACTACTGATTAATGCTGAATATTACTTAGATTGGTTGAAATGCATTTTTTATTTAATATTATTTAATTACTCTGACTATGGGTATTAAGTTACCAAACTAAACATGCTATCAAGTGTAGTTATGATGAGCAATGGTGCCTCTTTAAAAATTTTGAATGTCATGGCCTTTAGTTCAAAACATGAACCAACATTATTTTGGATTTCAATGATTTATTCATGATTTATTCTTTAATATGCTTCATAAGTTATGTCATTAATCCTACTTTCATTGCAGAAAAGTTCTGCTCGAAAAATTTCAGACACGAAAACTTTAAAACATTGGAAGTAAAAACAAGTCCGGTAACAAAATGCAGCCATTGAAACCATGCCTATGATACCTTGCACATTGTCTTGAATTTAATCTACAATACACACTAATGTGTGTATACAAGTTACATAAAAATATTATTTATGGAAACCATCATTATTTTGGTATCGTATCAGAGATACAGTGTACATATGCTGTATACAGTTATGGTCGCCACGAGTGATTTTCGCCAATTCACACTTGTAAGCAATTTTGTCCCGTTTAAATTCGCCCAATCAAAGTTCTGCTTAAGCAATTATATAGTGTTTTTTGAACTCGCCCGCTCACCTATAATTGTTGCCATGACAACAATTGATAGAACATTTTATATTTATTCAGCACTCTCAACATATACAATCATCAACTCGTTAATTGAATATTAATATAATAATATAATATTAATATTGAAGTGACAAACACTTTGATCCCAAAGTCCTAACTTTTACAGGAGGAATAGGGTACATTGGTTGCCATGTACAGGGAATCTTTGCCATCGGTAGATAAAGAACCCCCAAAAAATAATACTTGACCAACAGTTCACTCTCAGTTTTACTCAATTACATTTTTCTGACTTAAATTGAATAAATCTTATTAAATTACAAATATACACGCCAAAATTACCTTTCCTTGCCTCCTTGCTATGGAGAAAAAATGTTATTGCTATGGAGATAAAGAATAATGCAGTATTCAATAATTTGCCAGGGTGTCTAAATTTAATTATACTTTTTTTAAAAATTTGTATCTCGATTATCATAGATAACAGTTCATTTGATTTTTCCGTAAACTTTTACATTATTTCTCATTTTATGCATCAAAATAACCATATTTGTTGCTAGGCAACAGATTTGATTTTCAAAAGAGCCAATGAATTTGACTTCAAAATCTAAAAGAGAAAATACTCTGCTTTGATGTGAAATACACTCAACAACTGTACTAATCTGCCCATTTTTAAAATTTGGCCTTGAATATTGCCAAAATCACGAAAAATGCTGAATCAGCTAAAATTGTAAAACATGCGTATATTCCAATGTCTAGCGCAGAACTGACTTAAGACCTAAATTTTTTTTATTACATTGTTAGAACACTTTAAATGTGTATCTTTATTACACCAATAAGTAAGAATAATTCTTATTGTATTAACATGTTATTTTTAGCCTTAAAGATAGGTAATTTTTGGTCCATCAACAGTGAAAAATCTGCCGGTTGCTAAGGAAATTTCTTTTGCCGGGTTTCCAAGGTAACCATTATTCAAAACATTTTTCATTTTACATACACTGTCCATACTTCAAAAAAAAAATATGTGAGTGGAAAATCATCAAATTCTGAGAGCTCTGATGTATCACTTTCATACAATATTTGTTTGATTTTTATCTGGAGTGGTACTTAAATTCAGCTGTCACCAGCATATGGTGTTTTTGTTCCAAAAATTATTTTCTACTCAAGAGTATGCAATGAGTGCGATCAAATTTTAAGCTTAGAAACGTGTCGTATATAATAGCATAAGTTTATAATTCAAGAGATTCATATCTTCCTTAAGTCAGCAGTCCCAAAATCTTATGGTTGCAATAATAACAACATTCAATTATGGACTCTTTAGAAGGAAGACATAATCAATTATCAGGTCTAAGTAGGGTTGTCGCCCTAGGGCGCTTGCTTCCGAGGGTGACAACCCTATTCATATCTGAAAATTGGTGATGTTTCCTTTCTAAAAAGTCTATAGTTGTTTTGATATCCTGAAGAATCTAAATTATTAATTAAATAGCGTAGAAAATAGTTATCTTATGTTCTCCTACTCTGCTCTGATTCCAAACTTTCAAAATATGTCAATTTTACAGACAACTTTGACATCATCATTAGAATTAATCTATTGTTTACCGATCCAGCATATTTATCAATTGTACATTTATAATTACAAATGACAGTTATCTCGCTAAAAACAATGTTATTTTATTCAAAGGGCGACAGCACAATTGTTACTGTGCATGCTCGCTTAAGCTAGATTTCATTGCAATCTGAAGGATGTTCAACAGTTGTCACCCTGGGCTTCAGGGAAACATCACGAATTGTCACATCTCAAGTGACATACTCTTAAGCAGTCAGATTGCGGTATAACTTTGAATAATAATAGTATCACTTAACATATAATCTGTCAACAAGCCGTATTTTGGATGGGTCTTACCATGCCATTTTGACAGAACGTTTGTAATAAATTCGGAAAACTGATTAATTTGAATCGTTTCATTTTTAAGTGCTTCTTGTAACCATTTTATGCCCCGTCAATCTTGCAACATAGAAAACTTCCTCGACGTCGCCACTGACGAAGTACAGGAAACGTAAAAGTATTTCTGATTCTGAGGTTATTGCGGTGCCATTGAATATTCATATAAATACTAACATTTTGATGATTAAAGCTATGCATCTTGCAAAACATCCGATGAAAAGAAAAGTATTTCTCGATGCATTAATCATTAAATGTAGGTGAATAGTCTATTAACAAGCAACTTTAATGGATCCCATAAGAGGTTCATTATATTAAATCAGAGTTTTTTCTAGCCCATTGAAAAAGACATATGATAAATTCATTTCTTACATTGAATAAGTCAAAATTTCTTAAAATTATCAAAGTTCGTTCCCAGAAGTGTTATTTGAACGTTTACCCCAAATCAGTCTTACTATTTAAAAAAAAAATGAATGTATACTGATCCGCAAAAAAACGCCACAAGCAGTAATTTACAAATGTTTGAATTTTTATCTTATGATTTTCAAAAGCGAATAAAGTAAGGCACTTTTCAAAACATCAGAGATATGATAAAAATGATAAATGTTGATCTGTTTACTTTACTAAGTAAAATATGACTGTTAAAACACCCCCTCCCCTTCCAGCCATTCAATTAAAAAGTGCAAGACTGCCCTAAACAACAATTGCAACTTAATTTCTATGATAAAAAAGGTTCATTAATATCGAGATCTCAGCGAAGGAATTATTATTTGACATTTTTAAATGCCCGTTTTCCCGTTAATTAGGTCGAATTTTCTCTAACTTATAGCAGTATAGCCACCCTTGGACTTCCAGTACAAGGACTGTCCTTAATGCATATGATACGTAAGACCCTGTTGAATCGAAATGTAGTGAAATTTCGCATCAGCAACTGTCCATCACCTTTACATTGAAATTTGCCAGCTAGAGTAATGGAAATGCGCACATAAGCCATTTTCAAGTAGTCTTAGCATTGTTTCGGGAAAAGAAACTAGAGTTTATTTTTTGAAATATTGCTGCATTACTTATGATGAACAGTAAAAACCCTTAAAACTCCATAATATTGCCAAATGTTTTGTTAAACATGCAATTTTTGATTTCTGTTAAGCAGACTAAAACTTGACTGCCGGTTATGGTATGGAAATCGTTCAACCGTTAATTTACTGATGTTCACCAAATTGAAGATATTCACAATTTTAAGATACAAACTTCTTAACTTTACATAATTATTTCCCCCTAAAATAGGGTGTTGCGTTTCTTTTGTGTGTCAGTATATGTTTTTTACATGTGTGTTTTGTTTATTCGCGGGCAAAATTCAAAACTTGTTTTCCTTGAAAAAGATATTACAAATCGAAATTTGTTTTAAAGTTTTCTTTAAGTTTTTGAACTTAGGGGTGATTTCATTCACCAGGAAGTTGGAATGGAATCAAATCAGGATAAAAAACAAATAAAGCAGACACAAGATCTATTACAAATAAAATCCTGAATAATGACTCGAAATAGACTCCAAATATTAATGTTTCTTCCTTTGTTCCATGCATCATAAACGATGTATATCCTTCAACTTACATTGTAATTTAGATATTCCTTGAACCTTAAAATGACAGCTATTTTTTACATTGATTTGCGTCAAACATTGACAAATTTATTTGAAAAGCTACTAAGTAGGAATTTTGGCAGTGTCTCGAGGATTTTTTGGGTAATATAGAAGTTAACACCACTTTGTTCAATTTTTAACCAAATCCCGAATCTTTGAATATTTCCAACATACGATTGAATTTTTACTCATCCGTGTGTAAAATTTCCATAAAATGTTTTTTTTCTTAATTTCAGAAACAATCGTCATCTGCTTAATGTCATGTATGACACTATCTCCATCCAAGTTTCCAGAATTCATTGTTGTAACCAACGCAAGTCTTTTAACCTTTGGTGACACAGTTGTCATCAAATGCCTTATTGCAAACATGACTCTTATGGACGTTGTCACTGGTTATACTTTGACGTGGTTTAAGGATGACGTCAGAGTCACGGAGTCGTTCACAGTGCTTTCTAATGACGTTAGAGATTCAAGATACAGCTTAAATATTTTTGCAGAAGAGGGAAAAGGATTTGTTTCCTCGCTGCAAATCAAAAGTAAAAATTTTCATTTTTTTTTTCAATATTACAAGCCATTTATAGGATTAATTGATTATATAATGTAATAAATATGGGTTCGAATTAATTGTATAATTTAGTTATTTTGTCTACACATAAAAACAGATTAAGCCACCACCATTTGCATTAAATTTGTACAAATTAATTGTGAAGAGTCTCCTTTTTGATCTCCTTTTTGATGTTATTTGTCAAAATTACCAGGAATTGGGTTACGCGTACTTAAATAATTTATACAATGTTTTTATTAAGATACATCTTTTGTTTCAGAACCGAACTTTCTTTCAAAAAGGTCATAAATTAAGATACGGAAACCCGAAGTTGATCAACCTGTTTTTATTTGTTTGTCGCCGGAATACCAGAAATCTTGCAACAATCTATCTGTTAATAATTTTAAGTAGAATAGAAAATTTGTCTGAGGGAAAAATTAGGCAAAGTATTTCAAAAGTAGCAAAATTAAATCAGGTTTGAGGGACCATTCGCGCTAAACTGTTCTTTTTTCTTGAATTCTCCACTGACGTATTCTATGAAGCTTAAGGAGACGCATTTCAATTGGAAAAGACCAGTAAGAGTGTGTAACTATAGATGTTCCCCATCAGAATGCTGTCTATATTTAACGCATTCCAAAATCAAAACAGAAAATCTTTTTTTCTGTTTTAAGCATATTGCCCTTAGGTATTGACAAAACTCAACAAATAACACAGTTAACAAGATATTTATTGGTGCGAATATTAAAAGTTTAAAGAACACAAACCATCGTTTACATAGCTAGTTTTTACGGAGTAAATTTCCTCCCAAAACCTATCACTGAAACAGTTTTCACTACCACATTTGAAAAAGGCAAAAATCTACAGAGTAAATTTCCTCTCAAAAATGACACTATACAGTAAAACATACAGTAGTCAATTCAAAAGCGACTGTCCATGATATAAAAAGATTTTACGAAGTAAATTTCCTCCCGAAAATTATCACTGATACAGTATTCACTACAAACAATTACAAATTGAAAATAGCAAAAATCTAAAGAGTAAATTTCCTCTCTAAATTCACATTGGTGCATTCTACATTCAGTATGTCAATGCCAAATCAACCACCGTTTACATACTAGATTTTACGGAGTAAATTTCCTCCCATAGAATTATACTGATACAGTGTTCACTACTTTCATTACAGTTTGTTACTAACAAAAATCCAGAGAGTAAATTTCCTCTCTAATTTCACGTCGGTGGATTGTACATTCAGTATTTCAATGCCAAATCAACCATCGTTTACATTGCTAGATTTTACGGAGTAAATTTCCTCCCAAAGAATTTCACTGATACAGTTTTCTCTACTAACATTACAAATTAGTACTAACAAAAATCTACAGAGTAAATTTCCTCTCTAAATTCACGTCGGTGCATTGTACATTCAGTATTTCAAAGCCAAAAAAACCATCGTTTACATAGCTACATTTTACGGAGTAAATTTCCTCCCAAAGAATATCACTGATACATTGTTCACCACTATATTTCAAAATAGAAAAAAAACTCTACAGAGTAAATTCCTCTCGAAATGCACGTTGGTGCATTGTACATTCAGTATTTCAAAGCCAAATCAACCATCTTTTCACAGCTAGATTTTACGGAGTAAATTTCCTCCCAAAGACTATCACTGATATAGTGTACACAACTACATTTCATCTAGAGAGGAAACTTCCTCTCAAAATGACATATACGGTAAACATACAGTAGTCAATTCAGAAGCGACTATCCTTTATATGACAAGACTTTACGGAGTAAATTTCCCCCAAAGATTTCACCGATAGAGTGTTCACTACTTACATTACAGTTTGTTATTAACAAAAATCTAGAGAGTAAATTTCCTCTCTAAATTCACGTCGGTGTATTGTACATTCGGTATTTCAATGCCAAATCAACTATCGTTAACATAGCTGGATTTTACGGAGTAAATTTCCTCCCAAAAAATATCACTGATACATTGTTCACTTCTACATTTCAACATAGAAAAAAAGTCTACGGAGTAAATTTCCTCTCAAAATGCGCGTCGGTGCATTGTACATTCAGTATTTCAAAGCCAAATCAACCATCGTTTACACAGCTAGATTTTACGGAGTAAATTTCCTCCCAAAAATATCACTGATATAGTGTACACAACTACATTACAATTTGAAAATAGCAAAAATCTGGAGAGGAAATTTCCTCTCAAAATGACATTCATACAGTAAAAATACAGTAGTCAAATTCAGAAGCGACTATCCTTTAGATAACAAGGCTTTACGGAGTAAATTTCTTCCCAAAGAATTTCACTGATAGAGTGTTCACTACTTACATTACAGTTTGTTATTAACAAAAATCAAGAGAGTAAATTTCCTTTCTAAATTCACGTCGGTGCATTGTACATTCAGTATTTCAATGCCAAATCAACCATCTTTTACGCAGCTAGATTTTACAGAGTAAATTTCCTCCCAAAGACTATCACAGATATAGTGTTCACTACCACATTACAATTTGAAAAAGGCAAAAATCTACAGGGTAAATTTCCTCTCAAAAATGACACTGATACAGTTAACATACAGTAGTCAATTCAAAAGCGACTATCCTTGATATAACAATATTTTACGGAGTAAATTTCCTCCCAAAGATATCACTGATACAGTTTTCACCACAAGAATTACAATTTGAAAATAGCAAAAATTTACAGAGTAAATTTCCTCTCTATACTCACATTGGTGCATTGTACATTCAGTATTTCAAAGCCAAAGCAACCATCTTTAACATACTAGATTTTACATTCATTATTCGCAGATAGAAAATAAACATCTAAAAATAAATTGATCACTTTTTACAGGAAAAAAACATACATTTTACATCTTATTTAATAAATGACTTTCGAGGGACATTTTTATCTCAATATAGTAATGATGAAATACATTTTTATTTAATCTATAAATAAACAACGAAGAATCTATACAAACACATGCAGTTTTTTTTACTGATTTCAAGGCGTATTCAACGAGGGGAGGGGGTTCAATGCGCATACAGTAGCATGGTGACGTCACAAACAATATCTCAAGGTACGTTGAAAACTGTATTGTCCAGTCTATATCCGCGAAGAATAAAGGTAAAGGAGGCAAGTCCCTCTCTTGATTATTGTCGAACAGTTTGATTTCAAACACATCTATCACATTTACTTTCTTTGACCGAAGCTCCACTTCTATGCTTTCCTTAAGGCTGATGCCATTGAACACTTGCTGAATGCATTTCAAACATGTCCAAAGGAAATTTGGCCGCCATATTTTTAAGAAATCCATTGTTGACCTATTGATAAAATTTTAAAACTCGTAAATCATCTCATAAAATTATTTTTAAAATTTCAATTTTTCAAATCCCATGGGCATTTATTTCTTCAGGCACGCCAGAATACATGTTGCGCACCACAGTCGAGCAGTATTGCTTGTACAATTTTTGTAAAATCAAAAAATACTTTTTCCGTTGGTTTTTCGTATGGAAAATTCATTCATCTAAAGAACACGTATATATACCCCCAGTCTACACACGCATTTAGACAAACTAAGACAAGATAAATTTTTTTTGAGGATGATGTAAATTTTCTCATATAAATCCAGATCATATACGTTTGCATGAAACACGAATTTGAATGCAGATTAGTTCAGACAGGACATTTGCTACTAAAACACTAATTACTAACGCCAAAAAGGGGAGTTCAGAGAGTTAAATGATAATATGTACATGCAGGTAGTTTTACTGCAAATAATTGATCGCTAAAGTGTTTAGTATTTCACACAATAAAGAAAACAACCACCTTGACCAAGGATCGAAATCCTCATGGAACTAGTACTGTAGTTAAGGATAGAATTCATATGCCAGACACTACCTCAATTACATTTAACGTAACATATATACATATATAATTATAAATTTACCTTTATTATTCAATGTTTGGTCTTGCATGGTTTCCTTATTTCTCCATTCATCAGAGAACAGTCACTTTTATATATCCAGTCGTCACTTAAACCACTCCTGAAATAATTTTATCCACCTATTGAAGGGCGGTCTAACTTGGTTTTCTTTCTCTAACTTGCTTCGTGTTCCTTGCAACTTTTAAGTGGAGAAGCCACTGGGCACAATGCAAATATCCGATACCGCCAATTTCAAAACTGCCTTACACACAAATCCTCATGTGGGGATAATACACATGTAACCGGAAACGGAAAAACAAACTGTTTTCACACAGAACCTGAAAACAAATTCATTGTTTTCAAGATAAATGAATGATTTAGCGTTAATAGGTTGTAGTAAGAGAAAATTGAGATGGTCTGTTTCTTATCATTTCATCATTTTCTTTTCCGTTGCGTGAATCCCCGCTGTTACATTTGTAATCAAACCCTTGTATTGGATAGAGCTGCGGCCATGTAATAATATTCTGACCTAAATCAAGCTGTAAGTTCCATACTTTTTCACCATCAAAATCTAAGCCCTAAAAAATCATAAGTCGCCTCAGTTAGCTATTTACATTTTGTTGATATGTGTACTCTGCTGCAATTGCATAGACATTTTTTTCATGCAGCAGTTACCAATATTTAGGTTTCAAAAATGTGATTGAAAATCATTGACTGTTATTCGTTTTAGTTGACCTATCGACACTAACATCATGGGGTCAAAAAAGAGAAAAATAGACTTTAGAAAAAGCTAACGCAAAAGCAAAACTTCTTAAACTTGTTTTAAGCTTTTAATTTTATAAACTCAAATAATATAATCATTTAAAAATTAAATTAAAAACAATATATACTAGTATATCGCCTTCCTTTTTATATGCCTATATTTTCTATAATCCTAACTGTAATTTATTATTTACGACTTGTATTCGATAATGGTGTTTTGGGTGTTATAACATCTGATCTTAATTACTATAAAACCGTTATTTCAAAATTTTGTAAGCATCTTAATATATTATCTTTC